TCTAATTGATAACTCAACTGTGTGGAACTGTATGTTTATGCCAAGGATTTGGGAGTGGCTGAAAAAAAAAACCTTGCCAGCCCTTTTTTTTAAATAAAGCCCAGGTTTGGGTTGGGGGTAAGGACTAGAACCCATGTGGAAGCAGGTTATTTAAGCCCATTTCTGCATGAGTTTTAGTTGTGTCTGGTGGATCCCAGAACACATACATGGCAAACATTAGATGCCATTAAACAGACAGGACAGACAACAGATAGAGATATTTGTCAGCGTTTTTTCCAACTTCAGTGTTACAGAACCCATATGAATGTAGAGAGCCAACTATAGAGTCAAGAAAAGACTAGTCTAACATCAGGCCGATGCAATAATAATCCACTTCTAAAGTACCTCTGAGAGCTAGCCATCTATCTCTTTAAATGTTTCCTGCAAAAAAAGAAACACTATCTTAAGCAGTAAATGATATCTCCATACCACATTATTTCTTCAGCTATCTTTCACTGAGTATGCTTCTCTTTGTGGTTTTGGATGATAAATACAGGCTTAATTTTAACTGCAGAAATATGTATCACCGGACAATTTTTGAATGAAAATTGAATGATAATACATAATGTGCACCTTGATGGATGTCTGTATATTATTAAATGTTAAACATGGGAAGATGCAATGTCTATTTTGACTATGCACCAGAAATACTGTTTATTGGGGGGGGGGGGGTTAAAGTAGTTTTGGGGATTGTATTAAATTTCCACCTGCTCAGAAATGTTGTGTGTCCATGGCCATAGCATACTCACTGCATGTCCTTAAGAAAAGGAGCCAGGATATACAAGATAATAATTCCCTTAATCTGGACCATTTTCCTTAATGCTCTCTGTAAAATAGAAATGGAAGAACACTAGGGCAACAGGCCCTCTGCTGGCTAGTTTTGGGACTAATGCTCAACCATGCCACCTTCTGGTAATCTTGTGATAAGAAAGATGATGGAGTGAAGACTTGCAAATTAGAAGAACGATTCTGTATTTATTTTTTTAACCAAAATTATGTACTTTATTGCACAAACCAACAGGACCATCACCTTTGATTATGGTTCCTATTACATAATACAACCCTTTGCCAGTCTGCCAGCTTCCTGTGACAAACCCATATCCTGCTATTGATGAGTAAAACCCCTCATTGGCCATTGATCATACCATTGTCCTGCTACTTACTTTGCTAAGTGATCCTGATCTGCTTCTGTGCTAGCATGTAGAGAAGTGACATTGGGGGCAGGATTGTCCTGTTCTTCCCTCTCCCCTCATTGTAATTGAGCACTTAATTTTTTAAAAATGACCTACACTTTGCTTGAATTTTGAAGTTGTTTTTACTAAACTGATTTCAAAAAACACTCCAAAACAGTGGAATTGTTGGAGGGCGGAGTTATGCTGCTTCCTGAAGGCACAGCCATGGGACTATGGATTGGAGAAGAATTACAGTAAGGCAATGTTCGGAGAGGTGCAATAGTAAGGGCCACTATACCATTAGGTTCTCAACATTTTTAATTGTGGATACAATGTGGGGTGGTGGCTTCACACAATAAAGTCCATATAACTCAAAACACATTTTTTTAAAAAAAATATTTATTTAAACCATGCTTTATGTCTACTAAGCACCAAATGTAATTTTGAAATCTCAGGTGGGAAAACTGTGCAAAGGGGCACAACTTTATTCCCCAGTTTTGTTATGCTGAATTTTGTGATGATGTCATTATCAAAACCAATCAAACTGTCTGTTCATTTCCAACCACATTGTGTAAGAAACAATCAGTGTGCTAAAAGACAAAGAAGAGAAAATAAGAAGTGAGAGGAAAAGAGAAGCAAATTTGTGTTACTTGAAGCAGAAAATATGACAAAAAATTAATCAGAAAAAATTAACTGACAAAGAGATTTGGGCATACTCTTGCTCCTTTTAGCAAAGCTCATAACACCAAACTGGATTTAAGGTTTTGAAGATATTCAGAAGGAGTTGCCTCCATGAAGCCTTAGGGATGTCTGCTTTTTATTTGTATCTGTTCCCCTATGCCAAGGTATCAAGCCTGGATAGTAAACCTGTCCCCTTCCTTGTGTTTATCTTCCCATACCATATGGGATCCTTATTTCCATCTCAATTCACCAGATGAAGTTAGAGAGAACAATCCTTGGCAAGCAGATGTTTTTGTACCTTGGTGAAATTGTGAAAAAGAGACTTTATTTTTCATTATGACAAAAAGTGCCATTTTTCAGGATGGAAGCTACTCCTTAGTTAACAAGTCCAGTGACTCCAGGATGAAAGATGGTTTTTACAAACACCTTTTCAAGCCTTCCAGTTCATGATGCTAACCTTCTCCCTCCCATTGTTCTCTCTGCAAATAAAAAATCAAACACATGGTTTAAGACTCTGAAATTTTGCTTCACAGGAAGAAAACTAAAAGATGATCCCTGAAAGTAATTGCAAATTCTAGACCTTTGAAGGAGTATTTTATGGTTTGAAAAGAACACAACATTAACCAAAATCTGTTCTGGCTTTTGAGTCCCAGTCTTGGGGAAATGGTGGCTGATTGATTGTTTCTCTCCACACTGAATTAAGCATTCACTTTGGGTATGTTAATTTTGTAATGTATGAGAAAAACATAGAAGTTACGGGTGTAAATCTTTGACAATGTCATCTTTGGCCATGGAGATAATAATTATGATAGTGCTTTCCTGAGTGTAATAGAAAATGAACACTCTTTCACCATATTCTCCACGCTGCAGAAGAATGATTCTGAGCAAAAACACTTTTTATGTGTGTGCAAAAACCTGTATTGCCCTGTAACACTTCAGATATTCAAATTTTGTGGAAAATTGTGCAAAAAGTCTTCCTTTTCATTATTTTTTCTGGTGAAGTTTCCCAACTAACGGTGAGAAGCCTTGTGTTCTGACCTGAGAAGAAATTATGCATATTCTTTCTATTCTTAATAGCATCTGCTATGAAAATGTCTCTGAAATACACAATTCTGTCAACCAAAAAGATAAAGTGAGGGAGCTTATGAAGAACAGAATGGGGGATACAGAATGGGGGATGCCTGGCTCGAGAGCAGTACGTGTGAAAAAGATCTTGGAGTCCTCATGGACAACAAGTTAAACATGAGCCAACAATGTGATGTGGCGGCAAAAAAAGCCAATGGGATTTCTGGCCTGCATCAATAGGAGCATAGTGTCTAGATCTAGGGAAGTAATGCTACCCCTCTATTCTGCCTTTGGTTAGACCACACCTGGAATATTGTGTCCAATTCTGGGCACCACAATTCAAGAGAGATATTGACAAGCTGGAATGTGTCCAGAGGAGGGCGACTAAAATGATCAAAGGTCTGGAGAACAAGCCCTATGAGGAGCGGCTTAAGGAGCTGGGCATGTTTAGCCTGAAGAAGAGAAGGCTGAGAGGAGATATTATAGCCATGTATAAATATGTGAGAGGAAGCCACAGGGAGGAGGGAGCAAGCTTGTTTTCTGCTTCCCTGGAGACTAGGACGTGGAAACAATGGCTTCAAACTACAAGAGAGGAGATTCCATCTGAACATGAGGAAGAACTTCCTGACTGTGAGAGCCGTTCAGCAGTGGAACTCTCTGCCCCGAAGTGTGGTGGAGGCTCCTTCTTTGGAAGCTTTTAAACAGAGGCTGGATGGCCATCTGTCAGGGGTGATTTGAATGCTTCTTGGCAGGGGGTTGGACTGGATGGCCCATGAGGTCTCTTCCAACTCTTTGATTCTATGATTCTAACAGCCTGTAACTCTTCTCCCTAGAAGCCGCTATCCATAGTTGTCCTCATTCTGTCAAATGGTAGGACCGGACCTGCAACAACTCCAGGTTCAACTCCATACTCACAAAATAATTAGATGGTTTTCTTTCTTTCTTTTTTTTTACCACAAATGGAGATCTATAGTTGTTTAATTCCTATCTCCCCTTATGTTCCTTTCTCCTCATATGTGAAGTGGCCTCAGAAGGCCTGGGTCCTTTATTATTGTCAACAGTCCTCTCAAAATGGTCAGGTTTCATATTGCTTTGCTTTCACTATAAATGTGCAATGGAAGCACTGAGTAGGCCTATATGATAGATACCTGCTGCTGTCTTTGAAAGGCTTGCTCCTCTAACTTCAGAAATCATTGCCCTGATTAAGTGTGCAAAACCAAGTGGGAAGTGTGTCAACACAGCCCAGCCAATGTTATTCCATTTTCTACTATCTTATCTATTGGCAAATACAAGTATATTTGGGTGCAGCTGGAGCAGCCCTTCAATTCAATGTTAGCACTCAGTGTTCCTGAACAAATCTTGACATATTGCCATTTGCTTCATTTTCAGGGAAGAAATGCTCAGGTTTTGTTTTCTTTTATCAAAAGTATTTTCCTAGAATTGCTGCTGAGTTGTGCAAGACACAAATGAAGCAAGATTGTTTCACTGGACTTCATTCAAAAACACACAACACAGGTCAAAGGTGAGGGTTGACTTGCACTACCATCCACTTTCCTTTTTTAGTTTTAAAATATCTCCTCCTTGAGATGTTTTAAATCTCAGGTCCGCTCCCAAGTATTGGGGCATTTGGAGATTTTCAAATAGATCTACTCCGGCCAAATTCAATAGTTATTCCCAGGATGGAAATGGCTATGGGCCCTTCCATATATGACTAAATCCTGGGAAGAACTGGGATATTTAATCCCAGTTCCTCCTGGTATTCAGTCTCCACCCCCACCCGAAACCCCAAGCTTTCCCTTGGCAGGGGGTGGCTATATGCCCTCCTGAGTCAACCAGCCACCCCCAGCCCCCCATTTAGCCCTAATCTTATCTGAGAGGGCTGTCTGCATGCTCAGGCCCCTCCATCCAGAACTCCTGGTGCATCAAAATGATGGGTCAGGAGGTTGAGAAGAGGGAGGAGGAACTGGGCTTTTTGGATGGAACCTATGTTGTAACTGGCTTGCATGTAGTTGCTGATGGCTCTCTTCTCCCTTTTTTTACCTTTTACAAATTCTTTCTGTACTGAATATAAAGAATTTTGCACATTTTCAATTTAAAAAAGAAGCAATTATTTTTACTCATCTTAAATGATACAATAGAGGGAACCACTGAGGAGGAAAATGAGAAGACAACCCAATACTGTATTGTATACATCAAGATTAGGCACAGCACAAGAAACTATCAAAGAGTTAACCTCCATCTGTTCATGTATCCAGTCTAGAAAGGATGTAATGCGGCTGTAAACTCCTGGTTTATTTTCTTCTGCACAGCCCACCCCAAAACTGGTTGTTCCCACCAGTTTCCAGATATTCCGATCTTCACATACCAATGGTCCCCCACTATCTCCCTGAAAGAAAAAAGAAAAGCAAACTTTGACTTGGAAATAACTAGTATAATGCTTTATATATATTTGAGCTAAATAAGTTATCCCCTATCATTTACCCTACATGTTCCAAGTCATGGGTCTCTTGTAGGTACACACATGTTCTATATATGATGATCCTTCCCCTGCATACCTACTTGGTCTGTTTCTTGCCAAATAGTTTTAAATTCTTAATTACTGTATTCCAGCCTTATTCCATCAAGTATCAGTAATGCCTATTGTTTCATATTTATCTTCCTTTATTAAAAGTTCATGCTCATCTTGTTTATTTCTCATTCTCTGTGCATTGGTTATTGCAGTGGTTCTCAACCTGTGGGTCCCCAGGTGTTTTGGCATACAACTCCCAGAATTCCCAGCCAGTTTACCAGCTGTTAGGATTTCTGGGAGTTAAAGGCCAAAACATCTGGGGACCCACAGATTGAGAACCACTGAGTTATTGGTTATTCCCTCCAGCTGTTTCCTTACTGCTTTTCCTGTCAACTGATGATTTCACATATCATCCTCATTGATCTGCTACATTATTTATGCTTTTTTCACTGTATTTTTTTTTTATTTTAGCCTCCAGTATCTCTCAGCAGCAATGGCCAGTAACAATGCTGCTGGAGAAGGCTGGGAGATATAGTCAAGAAATGAACATTGCAAACCAAAATCCAGTGTAACCATTTATTAAAGCTACAGACATTTTATTTAAATTTCTTAGGAAACACAAATGAGCAATTATGTTTATATTTCAGTTGAGTCAGCAGTGGGTTGCCAATGTTAGGGCAGAACGGGGCTCCATACAGTCATGCCGGCCACATGACCTTGAAGGTGTCTATAGACAACATCGGCTCTTCGGCTTAGAAATGGAGATGAGCACCAATTGGAGATGAGCACCCAGAGTTGGACACGACTGGACTTAATGTAAGGGGAAAACCTTAACTTTACTATGAAGGGAATTATCAAGCTAAATACTGCTTAAATTAGAATAGAGTCTTTGAATCAGTTTTATTTATCTACATATTGGTTTAACAACTAAATCAATGGTTCTACTTTATCTTTGACTAATCAACAGGATTCCAGCCATTTCATAATGATTCAAACTATTCTGCTCAGTATTATCTATTTTGTTTACCAGGGATTCCTCAACTCCAGGTGATAGTATAGATGTCTATATAGTTATATATATATAGTTTCATATAACAGGATAATGTAACTAGATAACAGTCAATGTACAGTGCCTTTTATCCCCTACTAGATGCTGCACAGAGACATGGTAATAAGATTTATCATCAGTCAACATGTAACTGTTATTTATATTTATACATGGTAGCATAACTTTCCCAATATAATATAATGCATATGTAGGTCTTAACTTTTCCTTAGTTGATTACACATTTTAGACAATTAAATGTACCTACCTGGCAGGAATCTATGCCTCCCTTTAAATAACCTGCACAGAGCATTGATGAAGCTACAATTCCTCCATAAACCTCTCTGTGGTTGCAAACTTTGTTTGAAATCAAAGGGACCCCAGCATAATTCATAATCTCGGAAGTATCTCCTGTTTTCAGAAAAGAAGAACAGATTTTCTGCTTCACTGGCAAAAAATGGATGTTATTGCAGTGTACCTTCAAGTCATTTCTGACTTAGGGCGCTACCAGACTTCACTTAAATGTGTGCTGAAGAGGGTTTAAGAAACCCACTTAGACACTAGGCCTGTTTGATCAAGAAAAAATTTGTTTCTAAAATCGATTTGTAATTGGGGTGTTTTTTTGTTTCGATATTTAAAATAATTACAAAACTTTTCCAAAAAAAGTTTTGGTATTTACGAAATTTTGTAAATATTAACGAATTTTTAGAATATTTTTTTGTATTTTTTAAGAATAATATTAAAATAATATTAAAAAATATTTTAAAATGGAAAATTAACCAAAAAATGGCCCAAATGTGGACCAAACACAGGCAGGAGACAGCAAATGAGAGCACACACCAACAGAAGAGTCTTTTCTTTTTTTAGAATTTTTTTAAGAATAATATTAAAATAATATTAAAATAATATTAAAATAAAATTAAAAATATTTTAAAATGGAAAATTAACCAAAAAATGGCCCAAATGTGGACCAAACACAGGCAGGAGACAGCAAATGAGAGCACACACCAACAGAAGAGTCTTTTCTTTTTTAGAATATTTTTTAAGAATAATATTAAAATAATATTAAAAATAATATTTAAAAATAATATTAAAAAATATTTTAAAATGGAAAATTAACCAAAAAATGGCCCAAATGTGGACCAAACACAGGCAGGAGACAGCAAATGAGAGCACACACCAACAGAAGAGTCTTTTCTTTTTTAGAATATTTTTTAAGAATAATATTAAAATAATATTAAAAAATAATATTAAATATTTTAAAATGGAAAACGAAACCGCACAGGCCTACTATACAGACATAGCGGGTTTGAGTCAGACCCAGCTAACACCTCCCAACAAAGGATTCCCCTGAGCAGGAAGGAGCCAGACTTTGAAGCTACAAGGCCATTTAATCCCAATCAAGCTGTCCAATGGCAACATTCACACTTGCCTCCAACAGACAAGAGTTCTTTCTCCCACCCTGGACCTTCTACAGCCAGGCTTTGAAGCTGCGAGGCCATTCAATGCTAATCAAGGTGGCCAATGGCAGCATTCACAATTGCCTCCAACAGACAAGGGTTCTTTCTCCCACCCTGGACGTTATTTCACAGGGATATAAACCCTACTTGCCTAGTTTCCAACAAACCTCTGAGGATGCCTGCTATAAGATATGAGAGAAACGTCAGGAGAGAATGCTCCTGGAACAGAGGGGTTTACCGGTTTAGCTGAGGAGAAAAAAAGAGCAACCAAGCGCGCGCCTGCCTCCCTCCCTCCGCCAAACGCGGCAGCCGAGGGCCGGGGCTGGAGGATTCTTTCTCCCGAGATGTGCTCCTGCCTTAAAGAGACAGCACACACTGTTTTTCTCTCTCCCTCTCCTTTCGCCCGCTTGGAGAAGCGAGCAAGCAAGCAGCCCACAGCCAGGGATTTGGCAGCACGTAAGTTGCTTCAGCCGCCCCTGATGCAGCGCTATATCACTGTATGCAGCCGCATGTGGAGGAGGAGGAGGAGGAAACGGGGAGAGGGGAAAGAGGGCGGGAAGAGCAGCCCAGGCCGAGAAAGAGGGGAATGGCACCAGCACTCCAGCAGCCTCCATCCCATTAACGAAACGAGCGGAAGCTCGTTAAATCTATGGGGGTTGCCGGTTCGATATTTTTAAACCCTTCCGGGTTTGAAAATGTGTTTTGATATCGCTTCAAAAATGCAAAAAAAAACGAATTATTAACGGATTAACGAATTAACGAACGAAATCGCACAGGCCTATTAGACACACATTAAGTCATACCTCCCCTCAAAACCCACATTTTCCCAGAGGTGTCTCGATGCCTTCCGGGAGCACACTTAAACACCCAGAAGCCCCCCAAAATAAGCCCTTAAAATTAAAACAACTTACCTGGCTGCCATTAAAGTTCTGCTGAAGTTCTCCTGATGCATAGAAATGACATGCCAGGAGACCCGGGGGGGGGAGGACAAAAATCACTCCTCCCCCCCCCCCCCGCCGGCACATCATTTCTAGACATGAGGAGGACTCCAGCAGTACTTTGATGGAGGCCAAGAAGTTGTTTTAATTTTAAGGGCTTATTTTGGAGTTTTTGGGGAGGGGTGCCCTCTTGGTTTTCCGGGCTCATGGAGCCCGAAAAATTCAATCCACACTAGGCCCACACATGGAAAGACCTGGATCTTATTGAAGATTTGGGTCTTACCAGGTATCAAATTAATTTGGAACAAAGCAGTGTTTACCTGCTTTGTCTTGAATTAATTCGGTTTTACCAGAGGCATCATTGGGACGCCACCGGTAAAAGCATGAGAATTCATACATTTTGAGCCCTATCAAGATGGGCCCTTACAGTCCAGCTCCTTAATCAATTTTAATCATGGAAAAAACTGCAATTTAAGGAAGTTTTCTATTCACAACAGTTATAAAATATACTAAGAAACTTTCTTAAGATACTTTCTTATTATCCAGACTACCTGTTCCATTATATGTTTTTAGTCTTCAAAACATTTAAATATTTAAATGCATAAATATGTTAATTGGGGTTGTTGTTATTGTTCTTGTTGCAGCATGCCTTCAATAAATTACAAATTAGGGCAGCCGTATCACAGGGATTTCAGGACTGAGAATGTCTGGTTTGCCCTGAATCACCCAGAGGGTTTCCACGGCCAAACCAGAATTCAAACCTTCAGAGTTGTAATCTATCCACTTCATCCATTCCACCACACGATCTCTCATTGAAATCAATGAAATCTTAAATCTCGTTGAAATAAATGGGATCATGTTTATTTATGTACTCCCCCCCCCCCAAATATTGAGGTAGGACTCCCCAGCACAACATTCAAATTGGTGAGTGTACTCTATACATAAAAATATGGCATCAAACAGCAATTGAACTTTTGTGTTCTGAAATTTTCTGTAAAGGTATTTTTGGAAACATACGTACATACAGCAAATCTACAGTTGTGGTGACAAAGAGACAATATTATTTATACAGGCTAAAATACTCACCTCCTTCTTCTTCAGTTCCCCATCCTGATATCCAACACATTTTGCCTTCCGGAAAATGTTCCCCAAAGTTAGGAAGACAAATTGGCTCTATAACACCTGCATTTTAAAAACCTGCTGTTTTATCATTCATAATCCACATGAAATATTTTTGTATTTATTTATTATTATAATGCATGGATAGCCCATCAAATAACCCCCACCCAGCAACATAAATGTGGTACCCAAGTTTCCTCCTCATAGTAAACCTCACTTGACATCAGTCATATAACTGTAGCCTTCACTCACATCATTTACATTTCAATTTAATTTGTGGCAGTGAGATTTCTGGCACTAATTGCCAGAGCACATGTGTTCTCTCAGAATATTCAGTTGCGCAACAGTTAACTTTTTAGCTTCTTTGAGGGAAGGAATCCATATGATTTGGGTTAGAATTTCACATACGGGTAAGTTGAGGACTAGAAAAAGTTTCTGATGCTAAAAAAAAGGAAATTAAAAGAAAAAGCAAGGTGAGTGACTTGAGTACTTTGAGATGAGAACAAAGACACATAGAACTGAGAGCGAAAGGTTACTCTCAGAGGGGTCTTTGAAAAAACATAGACTCAAGATGGGCTTTGTTTTTATAAGTGAAGACAGATTGCTCTTATTGGACAGGAGAGACTGGCCAAGGAATATGCTGGCCAAAAATGCGAACCCAATTAGCAGTGATATAAAAAAGGAAACTATGAATTATGGGGAACCAGAGAGAAAGAAAAACTTAAGCAATTAGCATCAAAGAAGTAAGAATGCAACTGTGGTCATATTTCGTTTCCTTACAAGAAAAATTATAAGCAAACATTTGAGTCATCTCCATGAGAGACAAAAAAATTACTTTGAAGAGTAGATGCGGTTCATTTCCTTTCATTCAGGAAATAAGTCCTTACTACCTACATACAGAATCTTCGACCCATGATTGATCCACTTCCATTCTAATAATATAGATGGCAGGTTTAGCGCTGGATCAGCAGAGTCTCTTCAGTCTTTATGACTCTGATGCACATTATAGACTGCTGTAACAATGCAAACTAAGAGAAAGGAAGGTGCTGTATGGCTGTCTTCATACTGATGGTTCAGGAGCTTTTCTGTTCAGTATAACCCCTATATTCACAGGGGATACGTTCCCAGATTTTTCATGGATATACAAAATGGATAATGTTGATATGCTTTTAATGATTGCTTTAATATATGTTTATTTTATTGACGTATGTTTTTATGGCATCGAAATGCTACCTATATATGTGAGCTGCCCTAAGTCCCCTACTGGGTGAGAAGCGTGGGGTAGAAATATGGTAAGTAAATAAATAAATAAATAAATAATCCTATTGAAATAAAGCCGTTCTGATCCAATAATACTATACATTTGTCCTGGAGGACCTAGAAAATGTATCAAGAAGACTAATTCTGTCAGATATGACCAATGAAACCTCGAGTATCAGTCCCACTGATATATGAACAATACTTACAGCAACATCTATCCCAAATAGCGCACGTAACAGAATAGATAAGTAAGAAATGGCAGGAGATTCAAAATTACCATTTAGTGTAAGTGGGTTGGCCAGCTTCATCAGTGCTACATCATTCTTCATTGTTTTAGGCCTATAATTGTTATGATATATTATTTTATCCACTAGGTATGAATTGATGGAGTTTTCTTCCAGCATTACAAAACCCACATGTACGCTCCAAGCTCTAGGAAAGTACAAACTGAAACAAATATATTATAAAGAAAGGTTAGTAGTTTTTCAACATTTAAAATTATCCAGCAAACATTTTTGGGCTATAATACTAAACAAATTGTGCCAGAAGATAGTATTGCTAAGAATGTGTCCTGACAGAGATGATGGGTGAATCTACACTGAGCAATTAATGCAGAAGGGTCATGGATCCCAACTGCCAACTGGCCTCAAAGGAAGAGAAGAGCTAAGCATGGCTCCATCATGTCCAGCCTCAGAAGTAAATGAAAGGCCCTTCTTCTTTTTCAATGGTCACTACCCTGACCTTAGAGTATTAAAAAGCTAGCCCACATTTCACAAACAGGAGGTTAACAAACAATCCGAGTCCAAACCAATGAATCTAGCCGAGAGGCAACAACACAGGGAATAACACCAGGGAAGCCAATAGTCCATTTTAATACCCAACGCAGTCTAGAGTCAAGGGTTAATCCAAAAATCTGAATGCCAGAGTCCAAAAAGATAGTCCACAGTCCAGAAATCACCAACAGTCAAGGTCACAGCTCCAAACGCTGAAGTTGCTGCCAGCAAAAAGGTGCACCTTTCATGCTAGATTCTCAGTTGTTGCCTATTGAGAGGAACTTCGAAGTTGAGCCTTCTCCCTTTGCAAGTCCAATAGAGCCAGAAAACTTAACTCTTCCTCTGCTTGCTCAAGTAAACTAGCTGGTACTTGCTCTGAGGGCTGAGAAAAGGTAGTTTCCTTCAAATGCTCTTCTTCCACGCTTGGCTGAGAAATCTGCTGGACACTGCTGGGCTCTAGCATAAATACTGGCCCTTCAAACAGCACCTTCTCACCACACTATCAGAGTTATCCATGACACAGAGGGAGAAAAGAAACTATATCTGCAAGACATAGGATGATATCCCATCAGAGTTCTAAAGTGCAAGTCTGTGTTTCCTTATTGTTTGGTTTGTTTCTGCAGAATTCTGGGAAATGTAGTTTAGGGAAGCCGAGGACCTCTCTGACTGAGAGTTCCAGAGGTTCTGGTCTAAACTACAGTTCTCAGAATTCTGCAGGATCAAACTGGGTGATAGGGAAATGCAGATCTGCACTTTAGATCTATAATGTGATATCATCCACAACCCACTCCCCACTGCCATAACATTTTCCTTTGTGCCATGTCTTAATTAGATCGTAACTCAGAGGACAGATAATTGTTTTGTTGTGTTTTTTACTTATAAAGTGCCATATACAGTAATAATACTAAATAAATACTTAAATATTGTGCTCAAGCTCCGTTACTTTTTTGCCACTATTATATGAGTTATTGTGGACTTGATCTAGAGTCTATTACAACAATAATATCTTGAAGGAACTATGACAACAGAAAATATTTGACCACACCTTGTCAAAACCACTAAAAAACTTATATAGCCAGACTTGCAAAAGCATTGGAAACAAGATGGGACACTTACTCGTAGACACAGTGAGCTGCTGTGAGGATCCACCAGGAAGTAATGACGGATCCCCCACACAAATGATATCCTTGAAACTGAAGGCTGGCTTGCCATGGCCACTGCTGGGGCAATGAAGCATTTCCACCAACTATTCGTGGTGAAAAGCCAGATCTAGTACCGCATGCTGTTGGAACAAGAAAGTGGAATAACTGAGGCAGTGCTGCCTTAAGAAATAAAATCATATTAATGAGAGAGATATGTGTGTGTGTTTTTTAAATAATACCTAAGTCAGAATGCAATAATAGTAATAATAGGTTCTTGTGGGTTTTTTCGGGCTATAGAGCCATGTTCTAGAGGCATTTCTCCTGACGTTTCGCCTGCATCTATGGCAAGCATCCTCAGAGGTTGAGAAGGTCTGTTGGAAGTAGGAAAAATGGGCTTATATATCTGTGGAATGGCTGGGGTGGGGCAAGGAGCTCTTCCCTGCTGCAGTTAGGTGTGAATGTTTCAGCTGATCACTTTCATTAGCATTTGAAGGCCTGCCTGAGCCTGGGAAAATCTCTTGCTGGGAGGTGTTAATCTGTGCCTGGTTGTTTCCTCTCTGTTGTTGTGCTGTTGTAATTTTAGAGTTTTTTAATACTGGTAGCCAGATTTTGTTCATTTTCATGGTCTCCTCCTCTCTGTTGAAATTGTCCACATGCTTGTGGATTTCAATGGCTTCTCTGTGTAGTCTGACATGGTGGTTGTTGGTGGTCCAGCATTTCTGTGTTCTCAAATAATATGCTGTGTCCAGGCTGGTTCATCAGGTGCTCTGCTATGGCTGACTTCTCTGGTTGAAGGAGTCTGCAGTGCCTTTCATGTTCCTTGATGCGTGTTTGGGCAATGCTGCGTTTGGTGGT